GTACCCCCCCCCTCAGCCCCATGCCTAAGTCCCTTGCCTTTCATTTACCCCCCCCCCCCGCCCCGCCTTGCATTGAGCACCCATCTACTTCCTTGGGATCCTAGTCACCCTCTGAGCCCACAGCCCTCGGAGCGGGGCTCATTTCAGGTCTGTCCCTGTCCTCCAGCTCCTGACCCCATCTGAACCCCAGGAGGGCCAGTGGTGTCAAGGTGCATCTCGGAGGATGGGGGAGTACTGGGCAGACCCCTGGCAGAACAGCGAGAGTATGGGATGAGAAGTCGGGGGATGGGATCCTGGAGTCCCGGGGTGGGGCTCTGGGCAGAGGAGGAAGTGAGGGGATGTGAGAGGACCCACCTGAGGCTTGGGGGTCATCCCAGGGCTCTGTTCCCCACCAAGCAGAGCTACACGTAGGCTTGGACAGACCCTGCAGCCCACGGAGGGTGTGTCTGTGTTTACCACCCCACAGGGGTCCAACAGGGGGTGGGGCTACCATGGCTAAATGAGGCTTCTCCACTCAGGGCCTGGCAGCCCCCTCCTCGGCTCTCACGCTGCACGCAGAATCAAGCCAACATCATTCTCCAGGCCCCAGCTCTTGGGCGCGGGCCCCAGGTGGGGCTGCCAGAGCTGAGAGGCGCGGCCCCCTCTCCAGAGCACTCGCCTGACATAACCTATTAGTGCATCTCGCCTCAGGGCAGCTGGGCCTGCCCACCCCTCTCCTCGGGGTCGGGCCCAGAGGCCTCCTCTAGGCTGGGATTCCCAGCAGTTGCTGGGGTCAGGTGGGCCTGACCTCCAACCTCTGCCCACTGTGGCCGCCATGCCCTCCTGGTTCAAGAGTCCAGAGCTGGGGCCACTGTGCGGACGTGGGGACTGAAGCTTGAAGAGGATGAGGGGCTTTCTGAGGGCCTGCCCTTGGCCTCCAGCTTTGCCCTCTCAGCCGCACTGCTAGGGTCTGCTGGAAGGTGTGGTGGAGGGCGGCTCCGGACACTGAGGAAGGGCTGCCGCAGGGGCCTCTGGGCTCCTCTAGGCTGTCCCATCGTGAGGACAGATGCGCTATGTAGGGAGAGGAGGGCCAGGCCCAGGGACGGTACCCCCTCGGGGCTCCCTTAGGACGGCTTTCCTCAGACACTGTGTTGATCCCCCAGCCTGCAGACCCCCAAGCCCGGGCCAGGGGCTGGTCCCTGGTCCTCCAGCCCCACCTGGCCCAGCCCGGGCTCCTCCGGGAGCTCCCATCTCTGAGATGAGGACACTGCACCCACACAGGAGCTATGGGAAACCTACGTGGCAGGTAAGGAGTTTGCACACGGCTTGCATACAGTGGTGCTCAGTGAGCAGAGGCCCCCTTTTTTTTTTTTTTTTTTGGCCGCTGCCACGTGGAATGCAGGATCCTTAGTTCCCGGACCAGGGATGGAACCCGTGCCCCCTGCAGGGGAAGCAGGGAGGCTTATCCACGGGACCGCTAGGGAAGTCCCCAGAAGCACCTCTTTCCAGCTTGGTGGCTGAGTGCCTGGGGTCGGGGGCAGAGGGGCGCAGTGGTCTGGGCTCTTTTGCCCAGCTGGGCTCCTGTCCCTCCAGTCCCCAGGGGAGCACCACTGTTTGGAGGAGGAGACCGAGGGGCGGGGCCTCCAGAGCAAGGCTGCATCCTCTGAGATTCTCCTGGGGTTGCACTGTGTCCCCGCACCCCAGGGACGCTGCCTCAACGGGCAGGGCAGCGTGCCCTCCCACTGCTGCCCCAGCTAAGTCCTAGGTCACCTAAGTCTGTGGCTGAGAGTGTCTGGGTAGGGGTGGGGAGAGGCAGGCATCCAGCCCTGGAAGCTGCACCCCCCAACAAGCTGCCTGTAGTCTGAGGGACTTCAGACCCTTTGTTCCCATTGGGGTTCTGCCTGTCCCTGACTTGCATGACCCTGGGCAGGTCCCTGGGCCCTGTCCCTGCTCATGAAATGAGGCAGGGGCCACTGGGTGCAGTGGCTCCTGGGTCAAAGGTTTTGTGAATCCTGAATCCCTCTCGGCCCCGAGGCCTGTGGGCTAGGGTTCGGGGTGCTGGAGAGGGTGTGAGGAGGGAGGCCCTTTGGCCCAGGCCTCAAAGCCCCAGGGCCCTCCTGCTGTGACCGCACACATCTGGAGCTGCGTCCTGTCTCCACCCCAGGCCCACATCTGGAGCCCAAAGCCGGCTAGCGGCTAAACATGGAGGGTTTGGGCCCCGAAGAGCCTGCTCCCGGGTTAATGCAGTGCATCTGGCCTCTGGCTGCTGCTCTGCTCTGTCTCCACAGCGGAATGCTGGCTGCACATCTGGAGGCCGGAGCCCTGTGGCCATCCCGCCTCACCCCACGCCCAGAGGGAGTGGAGTTGGTGCTGCCTGGAGTGCCCTGCCCTGAGGTGGGGTTCCGGTGTGTAGAGGGCTCCCTCTTCCCTTCTGATGTCATAGCTCACAGGGCTTCTCCTGGGGGCTGCCTTGGGAATAGCTGAGTTTTGACATAATGTAGACACATGTTCTCTGATGGGAGTGGTGACAGCTGCCACTCTGCACCAACTCAACCGGCAGCCACGTGGCATTGTTTGAAAGAGCCTGTAGGGCCTCCAGGATTGCCTGCCTGCCCACCCCCTCCTGGGGTGCCTAGGGTGCTGCAGGGTGAACCACCCATGGGCTGACAGTGGGACTTCACTGGGTCCCTGTCACGGAGCACACCTCACATGATGTGCCCACCTGTCACTTCCTTTCTACCCCCTTCTCTGCCAATACATGTGCTTGGCAGGATGGGGTTAGATGTTTCCAGAGGCCCCAGACTCAGAGAAGAGAGCCTGGAAAAGCAGGTGGCCTGAGGGAACTGGGGCTGGTATGTGGGACAGACCACCTCGGGGCAAGGGGCTCCTGGGGCAGAGACACAGCATGGGGTCTCCCGTGGGGAGAAGGCAGGTCTGGGTTGGAGGAAACTCTCACGCCATGGGCCCTGCCCAGTGGTGACCTGGACTGGTTCTTCCTCAATGGGGGACACGACCCTTCTGACCCCACTGGGGCCATGGGACCCTAAGGAGTGAAAGAATGTGGGATTCTCAAGTGATTGTGGTAGTGAGCTCCCTGTCACAGGGGAATCCAAGCTGGCAGGGCTGCTTACCGTCAGAGGCTATTCTCACAAAGAGCCCAAAGCTGTGTTAGATAGCTTTCTATCACTATACTCCAATCCTATAATTCCTAGCATCTAGAATTCTGAGACTCCTTGCCTTCTACGACAGGAGGCACAAACTGCCATGGGGTGGAGGCCAGATATTTGGCCTGGAGGGGGCGGGGGCGGGGGGGGAAGCAGAGGAGAGAGGCACTGGGAATGCAGAGAAGTGTTGCCAGCCTGTGGCCTGGGGCTGAGGGCTTTGCTGCCTCCCTGCCCAGAATGGCCTCCGCTCTGGTGCTGGCCCAGCCTCCGAGGCCTGGGATGTGAGCACATAGCCGCCGGTTCTGCATCCTGTGGTCAAGCTTTACTGGAGCATCACTGGCCCCAATTGAAAGGAATCCTTCATTTGCCAACGCCTCCAGCCTGGAGGCCCAGGGAGCAACAGGCAGTTTAGACCACAGAGCTTCATGCCTCCTCGTGTACCTCCGTACTCACGGAAAATCTGAGTCAACAAACATGCAAGACGGAGACAAAAATAAAAAATAACGAGGGCAAACAGTTACTGAGTATTCACCAGAGGCCAGATACAGTTCTGAGGCCTTTACTTGTATTAACTCATTCTAGCCTCCCTGGAATGGGGTACCGTTGTTATCATTAATCCATTTTACAGACGGGAGCCTGAGGCTTAAGGTCCACTCAGCCGTTGGGTGGCAGAGCTGGGGTTCAAACCAGGTGGTCTGCCTCCAAAGTCTGTGTCCTTAACCACTGCTCCTCCCTGCCACTCTGCAAGTGGGGTGGGTGGGGAAGACAGAGAGCAGAGGTAGAGATGGATGGGGTTGGGGCGTGGGGTGCTGAGGGCTCTGAGGCCCTGAGAAGGGATGCTGCCATGCCCAGCCCAGGAGAGGAAGCAGACCATCTCAGTTACAGGGGTCATCCTGTCCTGTCCCCCAGGCCTTCAGATGAGGTGTCGGGCATCCAAGGGTGGTCCCTTGCCTTGTCAAGCCTTCCAAAGTCAAAGGCAGGCTTTGCCAGTGCTGGAGCCGGTTCCCCAGGTTGTCCTGGAAGGCAAGAACCTGGGGCTGCTAGGGCTGTGAGGGCCAGCCCTGAGCCTACCTGCTCTGTGGCCAGTGTCCTGGGGGGACACCTGCTCCTGAGGTGGGGGCAGTTTCTGGAGGGTCACTCAGAGCTTCCAGGGCTGGGGCTGGCGTTCTCCATGGATGTGAACGTGTGTAGGGGGCTTCCCTCTGTCCACCTCTGCTGCCATCTGACCTGCCAGAGGAACTAAGCAGACAGAAGGGAGAGAGGGCATTCTGGGGCCATGGGCCTCATCTGTGGACAACTCAGACGGACCTTCCTTGTCCCGCTGGTACCTTCTCCTTCTTTTTTCTTTTGGCTGCACTGCGCAGCTTGCCGGGTCTTGGTTCCCCGACCAGGGATTGAACCTGGGCCCGACAGTGAAAGCTCAGAGTCCTAATCACTGGACCTCCAGGGAAGTCCCCATTGGTACCTTCTAATAACGTCTCTCACCCAGAGCTCCTGCCCATCTTAGGCACGAACAAAGCAGCCATCTTCACTGGGGACTTCCTTTGTTCCAGTCACCACCGTGAGGACTTGGCCATAATGGAATATCTCACTTAATCCCCACAACTGTGGCAGGAAGGTGTTATTATCACCCCCATTTTACAGATGAAGAGACTGAGGCTCAGAGAAGGTAAATCACTTCTCCACACAGCTAAGTGATTCAAATCTAGGGCTGTCTGACACTCCCACCCCTCACTGAGCCCCTAATTCCCGCCCCTGCCAAGAGGGCTGGGAAGAAACCTACCCAGGCCAGGCTTCCCAGAGCCGCAGACCGATGCCCCCTGTACCCTAGCTGGGCTGGCTTCAACCAGGCTCAACCTGGCCTTTAGGGGCTGGCCGGGGGCCGAGGAGGAAAACAATGGGAGAGAAAGGGAGCGGAAACCCTTTGGAAGTGAGCGGGGAGGGAAGCCAGGCTGCCAGGGGGTTCTGGACAGGCTGGGTCCCTGAGTCCATGGGGCAGGGGGCAGTGGTGGGGCTCAGGGTGCCCAGACCATGCTTCCTGTGTACGTTTGAGGTGCTCTGGCCCAACCCTGAATGAGGAGACCAAGGCAACAAGGACCCACACGGGTCCCATCCTGTGGTCTTAGGGGTCTCGGCTTTCTCTGGGGGACCCCTAGCCTGAGCCAGTGGAGGAGACCCCTGGAAAGACGCAGATTAACTTGCCTCTACACTGCTGAGTTTGGCAAGAGGAGGAAGCTGCTGGTTCAACCTTGACAGCATCTCTCTGCCCCCGGGGCAGGCTGAGAATGTTGGGAGAAGGGGAGGTGGGCTCAGGTCCCCTGACTCGGGCTGCACAGAAGGCCCTCGCCTGACCTCCCAGCTGGCCCAGCTTTCCCCACAGGCTCACCAGGTGGGCTTCCAGTGGCCCCTCCTGGCCCCTCGTCCCTTCCGCAAACCCTGGGGTGCTGTCCTTTGACATCCATTATGTTATTAACCTGGGAGAGAGCACAGGTCGCTCTGACCCCAGGGCCCTTCTGCGGCTGCTTGCCGAGGTCCCAGTGCCTGGACCACCTGCTCTGTATCCATCCTGGTCCCCAGGACCAGGTCTCTCTTAGCCTCAGTGCTCTGGTCAGTGACCTGAGTGCTCAGGATAGGAGACTGGTCCTCAGAGTGGCCTTTGAATGCTGTGACCCTGCAGCTTGGCTCACTCAGGGCCATCACCTTGACCCCCAGGATGGCAGGGTCCAGCCCTGGTCTAGGCGTCTGGGCTGAACCCAGGTTTCCATCTGTGACTCTGGACTGGCAGGTTAGTTGGCCTGAGGGACGCCATGGCTGAGGGCTCTGTCTCCAGCCCCTCACCTGGGGGTGTCCCTGTCTTGCTCCCATCCCAGCAGCCCCTGGCCTCACCTCAGGTGCATCTCTCTCCCTCTAGGAGCCGCCGTCCTCTGGGCCCTGCTCCTTCCCAGCCCTGGGAGGGGCCCTCAGGGGCAGCTGTCACCATTCATATGGGGGACGGGGGAAGGAGAGTGCAGTGAACAGGCGCTCGGGGTGGTGGGGGCCCGCCCTCCTTCTGCATCTGCCCGGGGGCCCAGCTTCCCCTCTGTTTCCTCCCTCTGAGCTGAGAATTGGGATGAAGGGCTTTGACCATGCTCTCAATCCACCAACACTGTGGAGGCCTCCTTGGTGCCAGGTGCTTGGGGTGAACCCTGGTTGTGCTGTTAACAGGTTCTGGTGCCTTGGATCACTTACTTCCTGCGTCTGGCCTCAGTTTTCCCCTCTGAGGAATGGGGTTGGACTTGAGATGTCGACGTGGCCTTCCAGCTCTTGCTTGGGTGAAGCTCACCTCTCGCCCTTGTGTGCAGGCCCCCTGACACACACTCTCACACACACACACACACACACACACACACACACACACACACACACACACACACACTTCTAAGGCCACAGGGCTCCCTGACCAGTCCCCGAGCTGTGACCATGGCAATCTTTCCAGTCTCCAGCCTGGTGGGCCTTGTCACCAACAGTGAGAGGGTGGGGGTGGGGGATGGAGGTCTCCCTTCCTCCCCCTCAGCCCCTCTTCAGGGCCAAGCAGCAGGGAGCTTGTCAGGGAGT